GATCTCATGGGATTCCACATGAAATCATGCGAAATCAAATGAAATTTATTGAATACAAATAAATTAAATAATGACAATTTAATTGTAATCATAAAAAAATCATTTACTCCTGAAATCACTCTAAATAAATGATTCCAGGAATTTTATTATCACACTGAAATTATTTTCCTAAAATTCACGTGCGACTTGTCACTTTTCGTTATTTTGAAACTTTACGATTTGGCGGGAAAAATTTTTGGTGAAAAATCAATTCGATTGGACTTAGAAAACCGATACCTTCCATTGCCATGACCCCACCAGAATTTACAACAGGTGCAATCGATCTCTCGATACCTTAAAAACTCTAGCGGCATCACAGAGTGGAAACCTATTAGAACGTGATAGATTGCCAAGATATGAAGGATGAAAATGAAAATTTTTCAGCAACGATTTATCGTACAGTACACGATGGCCCCTCTATCATCCGTCCACGTGTGCATTCTTTGATGGATATCGAGGAAATGTCAGTGGAACGGTGGAGAAACGGCCAAGGGAAAAATATATATATAGAGAGAGAATGGAGAAAATGAGGGACAGATGAGACTGAGTGATTGGTGGAGTATACCTCATGCTTTTCAATCCGTGATAAAAAATCACTTTATTTATCGGTAGGGGAGACAAACAGCGGATGCTGAGTGCTGTACTACGAGTTGTCAAACATCATACCAACAATTTCATCAACAGAATTTTTTTGCTGTGTGCGCGTTGAGTTAAAATTGTTAGAAATCATTTTTACTCACCGCCAGAGGTACATTCGAATTTTCAGAACAGCGAATGAACCAAAAAACGGTCATTTCAATCAAATGAAAAATGTTGGGAAAATGTTTGCCATCACTTCGAGTTATTGATTGATTGTGCTTAACTGATTAACTTGAAATTAAAAATTTATTCATCTAGTTACTCCTCGTTTATTTATTTATTATATTTATATTTATCATTCATGCCTCCACTCCGGCATAAATTGGAGATTCGAAATTCAAAATTGTATTTCAATTAAAAAACATTAAAAAAATGATTATGTATTTCAGTTAATAAATCATTGTACGTAGGAATTAATTTTAAAAAATCCAATCAATCAAAATTCTCGGGGTTACAACAAAAATTATAAAAAATTCTCCAATACACGAGAAAAAAATAAAAAAAACTCGTTTAATTCCCAGGGATCGATCAATAATCATGAATAGAAGATGAGATAACCCGCGAACAGAAGATTCATCCCCTCCACCCTCCCACCCACCCCCTGAATCTAGTTTTCGAAATCACAGGCACATCCTAGTGCATGAACATTTCTCCAGAGATCGGAGAAGTCGAAAAATTCATCCTATTTCAGTTGTCTTATTGAAGCAAGCGGTTGTACTCATATCGATACTTCCGGGTGATTTAACCCACCGCGGGAATTCACCCCCCATACCCCCCACCCACCACCCGCGAGATATTTCCGAGCGTCAGGATATTTTGTGGCGTCCGCTGATGGTCCCTGAGGGCTAAGCAACGGCCTCCCGGTGAGAGAGACTGAAAATATACCCTCATCTATCCGATATCGAAAATAGACGCCGGATGGAGGAATGAGGGGGTGGTGAAAAGGGGTTGAAGGGGGTGGACAACCCCTTCGGCCGTCTGCTGTGATAAAAATAACTGCGGCCGATGATAGAGCCAACGGCCAATGATCTCGGGGATATTTGATCGGGGTTTTAAGAGTTGTGGATGGAGAAGAACAAAATGGACGCTCATTCCGGATTTTTACACGATTTTAAGGGAAGATTTTGTTACTACCCCTCACCTCCTGACCATTCCGTCGATTTTAGACTTTACACGATTTTAGGGAGATGATAAAATTTAATTATTAATTGCGGCTCGCAGGATTTTATGATTTTATACGGTCTTAACAATTTTTGCTGATTTTTTTTAATGATTATAATTAAATATCTCAAGATTATTGAATTAATTTTGCCCCCCTCGGTATTATTAGAAGATTAAGAAAGAAATTGATCTTTTAAATTTGAAACTTGGAAGATAAATCTGCAGTTGCACGTCATCTTCATGGTTTGTCTGACTATAGATTGAGTTCGGTCCCTTGGACTCGATCCAAAACTCATCGCTGTAACACCGCGTGTGCGGTGGGCAACTGGAAACAACGCCCGATTAATTACTTTCCATGGCCCTGTGGCTACCAAGTAAATATCTAACCGTTGCAACAAACAGTTAAATCCAAAACCCCACCTCCTCGAACCCTTGTAGTCCTCTAATCCTAACCAAAAGTTGGTGGATATCAGCCGACCATTTATCGACTACACACCTCTCCACTAATTTATCAAACTGCCCTATCAGAAAATTACTCATGAAATTCTATGAAAAACCTTGAAATCTTCATAAATAAATAAATAATCCATTGAATTATTCAATTAAAATGACGGAAAATTATTCAACAAAAATTATTCCTCTGAATTCTCAATCTAGGGTAAACATTAATTATGAATTTAATGTAATACTAAATTATTAAATAGTCATTAAAGGGTAAATAAAGGATATTTAAATAAAAAAATGATTAAAAATCATTCGTTTGAACATTAGTGAGAATAGAAATCAGAATTCTGAGAGTTCTGTCCCGGAAAATCAAAGAGAAAATGGAACAGCGAAGGATAATCTCAACGAGACGATCAAAAGAACGGAATATTTGACGTTTGGATAATTTTTAATGATGACCCATCAATTTTTTGCAATGCTCCTCTCATTTAAACTCGAGCTGGACTTTTCTCCGAGGAAAAAGTGGCCACTTCGTCAGCACCTCACCGGTAATTTTTTTTTACCCCACGGTAATTCCCTCACTTTACGCCACGATTAACCGACCCTCAAATACCTCGATTTTTTTTTTTAATCCCATTTTACCAATTTTTTTTTTTCACTCCACCGTAACATCCGCTCTCCTTCCGTTTTGACGTCGTTAGAGAGGCAGATTTGTAACGTACAAGCCATCCGACGAGATTGGAAGTGCATTTCCCGGGTTGGAATGGTACGAGATAGAAAATGACGGGGAAAATGAATAAAATGGTAAAATGATAGAGCGAAATGCGAAATAAGAATTTGATGGAGGTGTAATTTTATTTTTCACCGTGGTGAAAATTCCGTGGAATTGGAAATGCAGAGATGATTATATTGCGTGAGGATGGAGCTTGAGATGGAGTAAAAATGGTGGTATATAGAAAAAAAAAAGTAAGAAAAATGAATCGAACATCTACTGGGTGCCTTTGGTGCACGGAAATGCTGCAAGTAAGCGTTTCAGGTTGAGCGTAAGCTCGGCTAATCCTCGTCTATTCTTTGGACAGGGGTAGAGAGAGAAAAATGCCAGAGACTATTCACTGGGACAGGAAAAATTTTTAGACGAATCGAATTTCAAAGGATTCACAGACAAATGTGATTTATTCCTGCGGGTTTTCCAACTGTAAAGGATGGTTTTAAAAGAGACTTGAGGCGGAGATAGAAAAAAAAACCACCGGGAATTCTGTTATTTCACTCTCTGACGTATTCGTTAGAAAATCCCGTCTTTTTTTCTCTCGACTACTGGGGCACAATGGACTTCGAGTTAGTTGTAACAGATATCCAATGAAATTTCCTATCGATTGAAAAAAAAATAATGAATTTTGCACGATTGGCTTGAGAGGAAATCCTGAATCAATCATATTGATCATTCATCGATCTCTCGGTGAAAGTTCTGCGAGAAAAATTGACCCTTTTCTTTTCATTTAACCGGAAATTTACCGATCTATGTGATGGAACAATCATCGATCGCCCTTTCCCCTCCCCCCACCCCCAATTATTCATCACAATAATTTCAATAAAAATGTAGAAAAGCCGGAAAATACGAAGTCGATCACCGGGAAGCGAATATAAAGTCTATGATAAATTTTCCAGGAACTAAAATGAAAGATGCTGTGAACTCTATCCCGATATGATCACGAGTCATGGAAAATCTCTCCAATTTCCTATAGCACTCGCACTCATATTTTTTTTTAACACTAAAGGATAAATAAATAATAAAAAAAAATCCTAGGGGGGATAAAAAATGGTAATGGATGGGGTACGTGTGAGGGTGAAATAGATATCGATATTTTTCTCGTACATTATCGTTCAAAGTAAAAGGCTCATGTCCGAGTGCCTACGGGGATGGGAAAAGGGGTTTTCGAGGGGGTGACAGAGGGGTTAGAGTTACCAGGGGCTTCCGTTCGATTTACCCAACGACGAAATTGCTTTTGGGCTTCGCCATCCGAGGGACTGGAATATTCACGATCCGCGTAGATATATCAGAATGACACTCCACGGGTTAAATGTGCCATCCCAATATTTTTTCTATCGGAATTTGACAATGAGAGATAATTTTTTTATACTATTCCCTCCCTCCCCGTCCACCCCTAATCAACGAATCTAGGATAAGTGCAATAATTGCCAATTGGCTTTTTATCGCTGGATTAAATTTTTTTAATGAAGCGCTTGTAAATTATTCGGTATGTTATCAAAAAAAAATATATTATCGCCATTCTTTTACGCCCGCGGCTTTTATCGGTTAAATAAAATTTTGAGGTGTTAATAAAGTTTTTATGTTTAATGCGAGATAATTTCTCGTAGAGTGTTTCTTTCGGTGGGGAGTAATTATCAACGGATGTCACGGAATTATTATTTCAGATAATGAGAGAAGTTCTTTATAAACTCGTGATTTTTCATTAGAAGATTATATTTTTATAGAAAAACCCGGGAAATTATTGATGAGGAACGATTTTCCGATAGTTAATGAGATATTTTTCATGATTTTAGGGAAAGAACTCTAGGGGAATCGAATTAAATCTCCGATAATTGAAAGACAAGACACGATTTCGATTGGAGTGCTTAAAATTCCGAGATAGATTCATATAAACTTCTCCCATTAAATAAATAAAAAAAAAAGAACAGTTGTTAATTTTTTTTTTCAGTTTTTGGTGGATACCAAAGGCGCGCTAGCCCAAGTAATGGCGTCGACGTGGCGGTGGGAGCAGCGAAAGCACTGCCATATCATTCAACTGAAGCCTTTGTCACTCACAAAGGAGAATAAAAGAAAGACTGTAGGTAAGAGCCCTCAATCATTCAAAAATACAGATAAAAGCAGAAGAAAAATGTTTTTAAAAAAAGCCACGGAATGACGTATCGATGTGCTAAATAACAATTCCTCCAATTTCCTGTGAAGAATTACACGCTAGACCTGGTATATTACGATAGGGTCCATCCACGTTTTCCTTCCTTTCATTCCACCCCCTTTTGCAATCCCCCTTTGCCACCCCTCCCTCTTTTACAGTACTAGCCGTAATCTCGATTTTCTCTTTTGTCATGTTGATATGGTCAAAGGTGAACACGGAAGCAGAAGATCTTTTTGCTATTTCCAGCTGTAACCCACGTCCTTGTCCTTTCATCTCCTTCAGTCGCCTGTACTCTTATTTTTCTCCGTTTTATCATATATTTTTTTTTTTATTTCCACTCTCGGTAGAAAAATCCACTACTGTAATCTCTCTTCGATCGAAACATGGGAAATCAGGTTTTCTTTTTTACTTTGTTGTGTCGTGATGAGAGGTTGCCATTGGTTGAAATATTTATTGGAAATTAATTGATTGGGGAATTGGAGGATCACTGGTGGGTATTTACTCTTGACATTTCGCGTGATTAATTGTTTTTTTTTCTTTTGATGAGGCAAATTAAGAGGATGTGGTATTTATGGGGTTTTTATTTTGATGTGGAATTGTTTGAGTTTTGAGTTTGGTAAATCTTGATTAATTAGGAATTATTGATTTTAGGAAATTTTGTGATAAATTATTCAATTTTCATTTAATGAAAAATTCAGAGAATTTATTCGCGAATTAATTGAATTCTCAATAAATGAATTAATTCACCAGTGGGGAATTTCAAATTAATTTTCCTCTGTAATTTTATTATAATTTCAAGATTTTCACGAGAAAATTCAGTTGCAATTTTCCAGAAGTAAAAAATGGCTTTCACTAGGGCATTAATTCGATTGAAATTGCAAATAAGAATTTCAAAGAAACAAAAAGGCCTAAGGGACATTGAAAAACAAATAAAATATGACGAGTCTGATTGCCCAATAAAATAATCAACTCCCCACTAAAGAGTTCCAAATAAATTTCCCTGTTATTTTTTCGAATTTCAAATTTATCACTAGAAAATTCAAGTGCAATTTTCCAAAAGGGAAAAACAGCTTTCACTGGTGCATTAATTCAATTGAAATTGCAAATTGGAATTTCAGAGAAACGAAAAGGACTAGGGTATGTGCAAAAACGAGTGATGAGCCTGAGGGACAGAAGTGGTGGATGTCTGTAGCGACTGAATCGAGTGGACAGCATTGCTGATGCCAGAGGACGAAAACGTGAGTTACAGTTGGCGAATTTCATTGAATCGAATTTCATATAATAATTACCGATCTATTTTCAGTTTTAAATCTGCTGAATCGAAACGTTAAACAGGGGGAGGGCACAATGGGCCCGGGATCATCGACGGTATACCCCTGAGCGATGCAAGTAGTTGGGGCTGTGGCCCTGCTAGTGAGCATGTGGCTCACTAGAGAATGAAGAAGCAAAACGTCCGGACCCTATCGTTGATCGTCTGCACGTTCACCTACCTCCTCGTTGGCGCTGCAATATTTGACGTCCTCGAGTCCGAGACGGAGAAACGGCGCAAGGAAGTGTTGGATGGTAAATTAACTGAAATAAAAAAAATGAGAAATTTAATTATGAGAGGAATTACATTAGAATTTGGATTTTCAAAAATACGCGAGAGATACAACGAATTTATGAGAAGAAAAAAAAAATAGAGAGATTCTAATCCGATTTTCACCCTCTGCTTTCAGACATTGAACGAATGATCATACGCAAATACAACATAAGCGAGGACGACTTCAAGATTCTGGAGACTGTGGTGCTGAAGACGGAGCCCCACAAGGCAGGCCAACAGTGGAAATTCGCTGGTGCATTCTACTACGCAACAACGGTCCTCACAACAATTGGTAGATATTAAAAAAGCCGATAAAATTAATCCGATAAAAATTAACGATCCATTCAACGCTTTTGTTCAGCACTCAACATCGATGCTCCATCCTCTGTATTTTTAACCAACTTTTGTTGTCCATCACCAGCCCTAACACCTGATATTATTCCACCATTTTAACTCCCTCCGTAATAAAATCGAATGGAAAGTGTTTTATATCATGCTAGTACTTTCCCTCATTCTCATCAACCCTCTCCTATACTTGTTTTCCATTTTTTTTTTGTTTTTTTTTTCGGTTTTTATCCAGGCTTAACTTTCCATTATCAGGTTACGGGCACTCGACGCCGAACACGATAAGCGGCAAGCTGTTCACGATGTTCTACGGGATAGTCGGTATACCCCTGGGTCTCGTCATGTTCCAGAGTATAGGAGAACGATTAAATAAATTCTCATCCGTCGTTATAAGAAAAGTCAAGCAACTGCTAAATTGCAGAGACGTACAGGTGATTCATTGCCACTTAGAAACGTATTTACCCTATTTTTTTTGCAACTCGATCGGTTTGGAACTTCACTAATTGGATATTTCAACTGACAAAACTCAAAAAAAAAGGTTTTGAACTGAAAATTTCATATTTTCCTATTTTTTTGAAAATTATTCAGCTGAAAAATCTAACAACTGTCGAAAAAATATTAAATAAACTGTAGAAAATTCCTTGAAAATTCACGAAAATAATTGATTAAATCTTCAACATTTTCACGAATTTCGAAATATTAAAAAAATATATTCCGTTATTTTTCCAATTTGAAATATGTAAAACTCCGAGCTAACACGATGCCATTATTTTTCAATTTGTCAAGGCCTCGGAGATAAATTTAATATTCGTCGTGACATTTTTATCGAGTCTGACGATAACAGGCGGTGCAGCAGCATTTTCACGGTACGAGGGCTGGTCATACTTTGACTCAGTCTACTACTGCTTCATAACACTAACGACCATTGGTTTTGGTGACATGGTGGCACTCCAGAAGGACAATGCACTCGAGACTAAACCCGAGTACGTTGTATTTGCACTGATATTTATTCTTTTTGGTTTGGCAATCGTTGCCGCATCGTTGAATCTACTGGTGCTCAGATTTGTCACCATGAACACCGAGGATGAGAGGAGAGACGAAGCCGAGGCACTTCAAGTAAGAATCCTATCACTAATCATCAATACCCTTCTACCCGTCCACAAAACTCATCAACAATTTGGAATTCTGCTTTAAAAAAAATTACTGCATTTGCCAAAAAAAATTCGATACTGCCCTATTTTTTAAATCTGTCATATTGAATAGTGCTACCAAATTATTCATCCGGATCGTTATCGAAATAGAGAGTAATTTATATTTTTATGGTGATTGGAGTGAGTGAGTTAGTGAGTTTGAGATGAAAACCGTTAGAGAAGAGGAAAAGTAATAAGAAATTTTTATGATAAAAATATGTTGCAGGCGGCGCAGGGAGCAGTGAGACTCGAGGGTGACGTGATAACTGCAAACGGCTCGATATTATCAGGCCAGATGGGCAATCAGGGTGATACGATATCGCTGTACGACGATGCATCGGTGTGTAGCTGCAGGTGCAGTGGTTTTTACAGAAAAAGAAGGAGACCACGTTTTACAGTACGTCGTTCACCCGGTAAAATATCACATCTGCTGCCGATGCAGCAGTTTTCGGCCTCTAGTTACAGGGAGGATATACGTCCACCACCCCTCACGCCACTTCTACAACTGCCGACTATATATCAACACAGAGCCAGCATCTGACGTCCACCATCGGTCAAAACTCTTCCCATACATGCTCATGAGTTTATTCAGTACCAGGCGCGACGTGCCTCCGTGTAAATTCCTTATTACTCTCATTTTCCATTCAACTCTTGAGGATATTTGCCAGACATCGTGAATGTATTCTACCAGTCGTTAAATAAATTGTTCATCCATCAAACGCAGGATTCATCACAAATACAGTACATATGTGGATATATATTAATTATATGCACATATTTTCGTGAATTATTTTTTATTCGTGAGTTTTCCTCAAAGTGTTTTGGCGGTTCTCCTCGACTCGAATTTTAATTTTTTTTATGTCAGCGAATTATCGATTTCAGGAGCGACTACAGCGATTTATTATTTTTTTTTTTGTGTCAATTTAAAAAATTGGATTTCCAGATAATTGGTAAATATCCTTGAGTGATTCAATTCGCAGTGAGAAAAATGTAATATCAAGTAAATGCGTCTTGATTTCCCAATTTTTCTTGTCTGCACGAACAATCGTAATCTTTCATTTCGATAAAAAATAAAAGAGAAACAAAAAATTGTAATTAAATACGAAAATTAAGGGTACGGTGATGAACAAATGAAACAAGTATAGATAAATCAATTGTGATACGAAAAAATAATTCTATAAATAATATTAAAAATGAAAAACGGAGCAAATGATTTTTGGGGGGCTAGGAGGGAAGTAGAAACGGGTCTGCTCTCTTCAGACACTCAAATTTCGTTCTCATTTCTCAATTCGATTAATTTTTCAAAAATAAACGTCAGAATAATGACGATAAGTTCCAAATTAGTATCACATTAATACGACAACGTCGTTTAATCCTGATAAATATAATTCCCGATAAATCCATACCGTCAAATTTATTTCCATCAAATAAACTTTATTGATTTGCTCCATCTAATTATCGATGAAGACTCAATCGAAAATAGAAATAATTAAACGGATGGCTTTGATGAGAATAAATAATGACGTTAAAACGGCAGAATTAAATGATGTGGAGTCGTTGAAATCCATTCATTTTGTCGCCCGAGAGCTCAAACACTGAAAAATCCGATCCACATATTTTGAAACCCCCCCCCCCCCCCCCATACCACACCACCATCACTGCGAGACTCAATGATCATTGGGAATGATGATGATAAATCCTTGTACAAAAGAATAATCGAAAGAGATTTGATGATTCGAGGGAGAAAGATTATAAATATGACAGCGTGCAAGTGACCATGTGTTCCGTAGCGCAAGATTATATTTAAAGAGGCACAGATTATATATATACAAGAATATAAATACTATAAATAAAAATTGAAAAAAAAAATGAATAATAAATTACGTTCAAACTTCAACTAGTGGAGGTGAGAAAAAATGACAATTTTTTCATTGAACAAATTTTGCAATTTGTATATATAAATTAAATATGAGGATATAAATACAGAATAGTTATTAGGTGCTACGAAAACGAGTTGAGGCGAACCTCGTGCCTCGATGTAAATATTGAATTAATATTAAATAATGAAAAAAAAGTAAAAATATTAACGAGTAATTGAATAATTGATCGTAAAGAGAGCAAAGGCGACGAATGAATCTCGAATTTTACACTCTCCCCTAACTTTTAAGTGATGATAAAATGCAATAAACAACACGATAAATCACAGCATTACTGCGGATAATTATGAATTAACATTTGCTTATGTGACAGTGAATCATCTCTCGACGAACCAATAACTAGATAATTGTAATTGAGAGGACATTGGGATTATTGTAGAATGGTTACGATTAATCTATACTCTTCCACTATTTCTAATCTCCGTCGACGAAAAAACAAAAATCACTTATTTATCGAATATTTATCTATTGATCAGACAAGTTGGATTTTTGGATTTTGGTAGTTGTAGGGTAGTTCTGGGAATTATGGTTAGTATCTGGACATGCTTTTGAGGGAATTACTTCAAACGGGTTGTAGAATTAATTGCAGGTTAAATTAGAATTTCATGGTTGAAGGGAATGCGAGGAATCGCTCGACATCCTTGATTAATTTTCCAGTAAAGGCATGTTTTCCGCAAGCCATCGCGATTTTTTTATTTTGAAAATTATTGAAAATCTCAACAATTTTCAATAATTTTCATTATCAGATCGACAAGAAAATGAGTTTCATTGCATATTCACGGCGTTAACAATTTTTTTTTCATTCACCAGCGAATACAAATGAACATCATGTACAATTTGTCGTTGTTGAAATTTTGGCGGTAAAACTTTTGAAATAACACCGAGAATTCTCCCCATTCCCTTGTTCCCAGAAAAGCAATTTCCGCGATGATGAATCCAGATAAAAAAAAATAAACTCCATAGCTTATTAATTAATCCACCGTCGGATAAAATACATGGGGGTATACGACGGAGCTTTAGTTAGAAATGGGACGCAATTAGTGATATGGGGTGAGGGTGATGTACTTTTGCTGGTTTTAAACGAGTACAAATGGCCATAAGTAATGAGACAGTTTCGAAGTGGTGGGATATACTGTACAACAATGGAGATGGAATTAATTGACATTCTGATTGTAAATTGAAAATTGTAATGTAAATATTTATGATGAATGATAAACGAGAGATAATTGTTGAGATAAATAAGGAGATGATTATTTCGTCATTATTCTCAGTCGTTGTTTTTGTTGTATTAATTGTCAAAGAAAATATTATAAAATATGTCATTACTCGGCTTTTACATCATCTCCTCATTGAGCTCAATGAATGATTAATTCATTCGGTGATCTTACGAATTATGGATATGGCCTTCGTAATGTCATGTCGCTGATATAAACAGACGAACATTAATTAGATATCCTTGCACAGTATAGCACGCATATTTTTCTCTCTTATCAATTATTCATCTTCTTCTTCAAACTATTATATCCACCGGCTCTTGTACGTCCAGACTCAGAAAAATAATGAATGATACGAGTGACAGAGTTGGATTATTGTAAAAATTATTTCAAGATACGAAAGAGGTAATTATTAATTTGTTAACATCGTTAAGTATTTTCATTGCATCGTCGATTGATGTTTTGTATTATTTTAGCTGGCTAAAGACGCGAAGATTGATAGTTCATTGATTTAATAATAATATTGTACGAGTTGCCAACGAATTTTAGACCAAAAACCAATGAATTTTATTCAAAGTGTCAAAAAATCAGCGTCGACCACTGCTAGTGAAAAATAAAGAAATAAATGAGAGAAAAAAAAACTGTCAAAGTACGATAAATCAATGATTTATTTACTCCTCTTACTAATTGAATAAACTATTTCTATTCTATTCTGTTCTTCAAAATTCAAAAAAAAAAAATGAATGGATTAAAAAATATACCGGCGAATTCGACGACTGAAAATCAAAATAAAAAATCACTTGGACATGCTTCAACTCTCTCACGTATTTCTGTAAATTCAATAAACTTTTTCCTCTCAAAATTCCAAAGAATAAAAAATAAATAAACGACAATTGGCAATAGAAAATTACTGAGCCTCAGAATTGGTGCCATGAATTTGTGGTTGTACAAAGTTTATAGTGATTTATTTCCTCCAGACTCTTTACGTCGAAAACTTATTTATCTAGTTCATTTGTCTTGAACACCAGTGTGGACAGACCACAAACTTTCCAATTGTATTTTTTTTTATCTCTCAGACTGAAATACTGTTGACTTTGTACAATCAGACGCTCATCTCCACAGGTTGATGCACCGATGCAATAGGAAACTGGTCTCAGCGTGTAAATAAATTATCCGAATTACCAATTAATTGAGTCCCTCGCTCGATCCATCGAAATATTTATTAATAAAGCAGAAGGAGCTCTCCCCTAATTCACTTGATTAAAAAGTTTTCTCAATCTTTCAGAAAATGTATTATCTCACGCTGACCCAGTTTCCGTAATTACGCCCTTCCAAATTAAATCCCCGGGCATAATTAATCAATTGCACTTATCAATGACAAAAAAAAAACAACTACTTCCCGGTAATTTTTAAACTTTCTATTGGGTATTTAAAATGACACGGTAATACTGTAATAGAGATAAAATACGATGCAATATATATTTGTAATAGTTGTAAAGAGAGCCAACAATGCGATTTACCAAGGGATAAATTGATTATTTAGAGAGTGGAAATGAAAAGTGAAATTTTGCTATCACTGTTATAGCAATAAGGAGAATGTATAGTTACGAATTTAACGAATTCAATAAATCTAATCGACCTTGTATTAATTAAAACAAAAACAATTGTGCATCGAAGATAAAACCGAGGAGTGATTGAACAGCAAGTGATTGACACGAAGAAAATAACTGATCAATTGCATTAATTTCCTAAATTCAATAAATTTCAGTCTTCGATATTTTTCTTCGTGTGAATGAATTACTTGTAAATATTTCCGAGGGATTAAAAAGTGTGAATAACCGCGAGATAAATAATTGATCGAATGGAGGATAAAACCTATTTAATGTACCGGTTTAGGGCTCGACACTGGATTTTAAATAAAAAAAAAAGAAAGTAAGGTTTAAATTACAAAATCTCCGTTGTGGTCAAATGGGTGGAGAATTAATAATAACTAGAAAAATGGTGAAAAAAAAAATCATCGCATGAGGAGAAATTCAATTTTGGGCTTTTTATTCATGTTGTAATTTTTGCGCGATCAGTTTCAATTCTTATAGATTAAGAAATTCCATTTGACTTTATGGTGGATTGATTGAATCGAATGATGAATTACTTCAAATCATACAATAGGAATTGAGTGTACTTCACTGCATTAATTCAATCACGAGATTAATCTCCTCCCAGAGAGCAAAATAAATCAATTTTCTATTCAATCAATCGACAAATGTTATTAACAAAAAAAAAAATCGAGGGGACAAAAATTACCTAAAAAATTAAAAAGACACATCTTCCAACGTATTTAGACGAGAGTGCCTATCGAGTAAAAAATAAATAAATTCAGGATTGTAATAACTGCGGAACGGTTCGAGTGAAAAAATCTGAACGAAATGATGTTCCACATATCTCTTTTTTCAATAAAGAACAAAACAAACAAAATAAAATATTAAAAAATCTCAAGTTAACGCGGGGGCAGAATCTGCACATTCTCGCAGATGAATTAAAAGGAAAAAAAAACCGAATGCATAAAATGAAATGGCAGTTCCAACGGCATGAAAAAAACCAAAATATGAAGGGAAAAGGGGAATTAGCAATAAAACAACACGAAGTTGCCAAAACTATAAATAAAATAAATTTTAAAAAACGAGTAAAGTGTGAAGAAATCATGTACCAAACACCTCCAATTCCATTGTAATTTGAAAATTACTATTATGGACTTCCTGATCATATGCTGGTATGTAATAATACATGTGTTCTGCCACAATAAAGCAGTTTTTTAAATTAAATGTTATCATTTATTCACTATCACCTGATAGAATCCCTTCTACTAGTCTAGAATTATTGTTCCCCAGACGATTAAACATTCAAATGATTCTATGGCGCCATCCAACGAGTTGCGCACACATCTTGTGATCGATAAGCTAGATTTCTGAATTATTAAAATAAAAATACAAAATTGCAGGAATAAAATAAGATATTCCAGGAGATGCTCTACGAATTTTCCCACTACTATCGAATTTCTGACATTTCAGGATGTAGAGTAGATATTTTCGAAATCAAAGATTGAATCATGAAGAAAATAAATTCCAGAGAAAATCCACAATAAAAAATCCCAAACGATCCTGACCCAGAATTGCAAGACGAAGAAGAAATAGCATCCGATATCATCTCAAATAAATTGGATTAAAACAGAGGTAAGATAAGAAGTCGATTTAGCTGAGATGTACATTTTCGAGGATTATCTGCGAATCTAAGAGATACACCGAGATTTTAGTAGAGACCCTTTTCGTCGAGCAGAATGAGAGCTATAAAAAAGATTCCGATAAAAACATCGCGATCTCCCTTAGATTAAAAAATATTTCCCCATAACCCTTTATACCCGGATTACCGATATTATCCGTTAATTAAATCATCTCAGCAGGACAATATCTCATGTCCTGAGCCCGATGTCATCCAACTTCCAAAAACCTGACCGAACCTTCCCACCAGAACTTTAAAAAAAAAAAAAACAAAAAAAAATACGCTAAACCCGAGCGTCACCTGACGCCAGGTTAAATTATTAACCCAGAAACCCCATCCATGTCATCATCCTCAGGAACCCCGCCATCCCCTCGCCCCTATCAATACCCACCAAAAATACCCGAACAATCGATAAACCCCGCGAACATTCCCATCCTGATAAGACCCTGTCCACCCTGCTACAAAAGCCCTGAAATTTCTCAAAAAACCCCACAACCCCAGCCCCCAAAAAAAATATCTAAATGAAGCCCTCGCTGTGCCCTACCTCCACCAAAATCCTCCAGAATTCCATCCCAAAATATCACCCCCAAAAAATAATGAAAAAACCTGTCGTCAGACAGAACTTAACCTTCCACCAGGGCTCTCACCTCCCGGTGAGAAAAAAAAAAAATTTCCCGACTCCTCACGAGTTCCCCCGACAGATTCACACAAACACACAACACACACATACCGAATACCCACGGAGATGACCGATTGCAACCGATGGTCAACGATTGTGTCTTATTTCCTGGAGTTAAGCCTCAGTCTCACGAGAGAATCAAACAAACGTACGCGTCCCCAAACGGGCGCGGTCTCAAGCCACTCGAACTGGCGTTAAAAATAAATGAAAAATGTCGTCCTACGATTGCATGGACTTGTGCCGTTTGTGTCTCGTTAAGGATCGTGTATCCGTGCCAATATTCGAGGGTGAGGGTGATGTGCGACAGATATTTCTCAAAATTGCTGCGTGCCTGCCGGTCAAGGTAAAACCAACTACGCCATAGATGTCCTCCTTTTTTTTTTTATCACACAGAACCGCCATCTTGACGATACTGTTGTTGTATGCGGTGGTAATGCGCTCTTTTGTTGCGATTATTCCACGACCACTCGTCGTTTTGATAAATTTACTATAAATTTATAGATTACTGGATGCACCGGGGGTTGCGGAAATTTCTGGAATTTTTCGGGGGCCAATACTGCCGGAACTACTGGGACGCCAATTGACTTTTTTGCCGCGCTTTTATTTCTCATTTGTTTCACACGATTTTTCAAAACTAACCTCATGATCTAGAGATTTATATGGAATTGTTTAATTTTTTTTTTATATTACTGCACTTTGGTGAATTTTTGAATTTTCCTTTTTTTGGTTTTTAGAATTTTTGGGAATTCTCGAAATTTCAGATAATTAAAAAATTCTACTTTCTAGGGGATTTCTTGTTCACGTGCTATAAATTTTTTGAATAAACGTTTGAAAACTAATTTTTTTTAGTCTATATTTATCTTTTATGATTATTTTCTTGCAATTTAAAAGAGGATCGTCATGAAATTTTTAATAATTATTTCGTGAATAGACAGATCAATTGCACCTCAATGTGCAGAACTGAATTCATAATGCTATCTTCAATTAAAAAACCGCAATTTTTTCCCCTGAATAACACGTGATACTGATAAATATCGAATTAGCCAGTGGCTGGTGCTGAATAAATCCGTCTGTCCAGACTTAATGGCGGCTTTGTTGGGATCAATTTACATCGAATTTTTTATTCTGCAAAAGTTTTTACAGTCTGGATAGAAGTTGAAAAAAAGTTGTGGCTTCCCCCGAATGCTACAGTAAAAAATAAAATGTCAACTCCCCAAATCTCCAATCAAAAAATTGAATTCTCCTCATTATCCACCAGAAAATGATGCCCATAAATATCGATAAATCATTGAAAAACCAATGATTTTTGACGTTACAGGTAGGAAGAGAAGACAAACTCCCCAAGAAAATCTGTGACGATTGTGTGTACAAAGTAGAATTGCTCTACGAATTTTGGAATACAACAGCAAATGCTGAGAAGCAGTTGCTGCAATGGCTTGGAGAGGATGGAGAGGACAAACAGGGTTACGTATCGAATGTCATGGAATCAGTAAGTAAAAAAAAAAAAGAATCCACTGAATGATCAACTGCCTAAAAACAACGAATGAAACATTAAAACCCCTGAATCTTCCCCAGGAACTGATGAAGCAAGAGACTGTAGAAAACAGACTGGAGAGCTCAGTGATGCAATCAGAAGATCACCAAAACAGCATGAACATGAACATGATGGACCAAATGGGACTGACAATGCCAATAATAATGACCACAGATCAGCAACAAATCACCTCAGTACCAATGTCATCAAGTGGGAATAACATTCAAGCTGTCCCAGGTACAAGTGCACAGTCTCCCAGAGGGAGAAAAAGTGGAAATAACGAGGAGGACGAGGAAGAGAGTGAAGATGAAGATAATTCTGATGACGATTGTGATAATGATGGAGGTAAATAAAAAAATCACCTCTAAAATCACGTCCAAAAATAAAATTTCCATTTCTATCACTCCAAAACTATTTTCCATCAACAATCAATGCATATTCAATGAAGAATCATTTAACAAATGATCATTGATAATTATTGATGATTTTTTTAGGAATTAATGTGAAAGAAGAGACCCCAGAGACTGGTAGAAACGTAGAGCCTTCATTTGTTAATGTAACGATTCCCTGCGACGAGGCAGGACCATCGGGTCTACAACAGCAGAAGCTCTCAGAAATACCAGAGATGGTGATGGGGCCATCATCAGAGGGCGATCCCAAGTCTGGGTGAGTTTAACACTCGATTTCCATTAAAATTACAGTCCAGGGCCAAAGATGCTGTTGTGGAGACCACAAACAGTCTAACACCAAACGTTTTCCTCTTGACTGATTAAAAAAAACAAATAAGCTAAAGAAAAAATATCAACTTCAATTTTTCAGTCTATCAATTAGTCTATTCTTCATTTTATTTGGCTACCCCCTGCTGATTTCCCTCTTCATCGACAATTTTTTTACTCTCTCTACGTTTAAAACCCTGAGGTAAGTTTTTACACACCCCACAAACATCTTTGGCCCCTCAGATCCCCAGCAGTTTGCTCGCTATTCACCACTCGTCAAGAACTATGACACGATAAAAAAAAAAGAGCTAAACTTTTTCCCCTCTTTATGCATGCAAATTGCTGGGTATCATAAATATTATATGTGTATCAAGAACAGCAGCATGTACCTGAAAACGTTCAAATCAACAATTTTCCCTGTGCACTGTCATCCGGACTAAACTAAAGACAACACCAAATCAAGAACTTCCAAAACAAATAAAAAAAATCCAATAAATTCCAATAAAAATCAGTGGAAATATTTGAACGTTTTTCAGTTTTATATTGTGCCTGGTGAACAGAAAAATTCCCATACAACAAAAAATATAATTAATTCCATTGGAATTTCGAGTAGATTGACAACTGCTGTTTTCCTTTTATTTATCGCTATTGATTGAAAAATAAATGGAACTTTTCTGTTCACAAAAATATGTTTCATGTGTCGATATAATATTCCCACGCTTACGTGAAGGCACTAATGCCGCACTCGACCCGAGTTGGTCGAACCACTGACGATCGATAGGTCGTGAAAATTTCGTTTGAAGAGTAATAATTAAAAGAAAAAAAACAAGACAACCCGTACGGTATCGGTTGGCCAAGGAATCACTGACCTCCATCCCCGAATAAATTACCTCAAACAACAAATAACCGATAAGAGCAATGGACCCACCTGAAAAATAACAATACAAATAACCTAGACCTAAGTACCGTGAATTGATATGCGAGAAGAGAATGATCCACGAAAAAAAAAAGGAGTCGAGTGTTTTGAAAAAGGACTTTAGGAGCTTCAGAGTACGAAAAGCCTACGAATTACGATTAAACTATCGCAACACGAAGAGGATGCTGATTATAATAAATCCACAAAGGCGAGTATTTTATTATTTATAAACCAACAATATTAAAAATTCTAATAATTAAGAATCTTATGACCACTATTGAGTGCGCCTCGCGCATTATTTGTTCTGAATTTTATTGTTTGATGATTTTCTCATTTTGATAATCGTCATTTGTGACTTTTTAAATGGCGTTTTTAAATTGAAAATTTCTCTCGTCGCCCACGTCGTAGGACATAGTCATGTCCTTCGTGCAAAGTGGAGGGACTCGAGAGTATGGTATGTCAGTTTGGCGAACCGGTTTTCAAGCGCAGCGCACGAACCTTGACTCAATCGTTTGCAGTCCATTTAGGCTCACGTGCTGCTGCTGCTCCTCCGGTTCTGCCTCGACCCTTTTTCTTCATTTTACCCCACCTCGATAAAAAGAGAATGACCCTGCACACCTCAAGGCGTTGCAGGATCACCTATCACCCCGAATTTTTCACATTTCATCAATTTAAATCTTCAAAGACGAAATAAAAGGAACAACTCGGCAAGCTTTAACGCGCCAGTAGTTCTTCACGAAACTCTGAGAATTAAAAAAAAAAAAAACCAATTGCCATTTGCAATTTTTCTCCTTAACCAACAGCCTTGAGATATTTATTCATCGAGAAAGTGAAAGGAAGACAATCGCGAAGACGGCGGAGCACCCCAGGAGCCTTCACTAGCCACAAAAAGGTGAGAAATTGATTATTAAATTTAAAAAGAAATCTCCCTCAATCCCCTGAATCTGTTGAACAATTAATTGTCGATTGAATTCGCGTGATATTACGACGGCCATCAGCAATGCATCGCACCTAGCACGACCACAGACATCACAACATAAAAAAATAATAAAAGATAATGAAAAAAATTTAAATAATCACCGCCTGTCACTGAATTCGTCAACTGGTGCAAGCCACCAATATAGATCCCCGAGCCATAGGTATTATTATCGAATTACAGGGAAGGCGAATCATTCGGTGGATTATCAGGCATGCTACGCCAGATTCTATCGCCATCCCCAGAAACTGGTGACGGCTCATTCGCTGGCTATTGCAGCCTGATCCAGCCAGGAATCTACAACAGTTATCCGAGCATGTTATCCCCAACGATTCAACACATTGTACCCACATCATCCTATCACCATCCAACCCACTCCACCTCTCTGATATCCCTGGAGCAACCAACCCTGGATCACCTGGAGATTCACGTTGAGACCCACCAGTGTCCCAACTGTGGCCTGGACTTTCGTAGTGTACCAAAGCTCAATTATCACATCAGAATGTGCCATCAAATAATACCAAAACAGGATAACAATCAGATAAAATACACGTGCACATACTGCGGTCGTGGATTTCCATGTTTGAGTCACCTGAGAATGCACGAGGTGACCCACACAAATCCCCAACAAATAGCCCAGAGCAACATATTGAACAATCAATCAATCAATCAGATGATGACAAACGATCAGAATGATCAGCCATTCAGATGTGACAAGTGTCAGGCGTCATTCAGATACAGAACACTTCTGGATCGTCACAAGAAGATGCACACGACTGGTCAGGATAAACCCTACGTGTGTCCACGCTGTCCAATGCGTTTTGAAACGCGAACCCTTTACAATCATCACGCTAAAACTCACAAGCAGGGAACAACAACCGGTGGAACAATTGGACAGATGCAACAATCTATGCCAGCACCACAAATTGATAAACCTCTTGATCCACCTGTATCCTATCCCTGTGACTCCTGCACCAAACAATTCCTCACTATCGAGTCCCTAACAAGTCATAAGGCTGTTCACAGGTCTAGGCCACTTGTTTGCGATGTATGTGGCAAAGGTTTCACACATCGCAAGTACTACGTTGTACATCAGCGTATTCACACCGGGGAGAGGCCCTATCTCTGCGCAATGTGTGGTAAATCATTCACACAGGCATCAACCCTCACTGTACATCGACGTTATCACACGGGTGAACGACCCTACACCTGTACACTTTGTGGAAAGGGTTTTGTAACTCGTACGATTATGCTCAATCACATGAAAAAACACTGAGGTGTGTGTGGGTAGGGGTGTGGGGGGCGAAAATGATAATTGTATTCGTTCATTCTATTGGTGAGCTCAATGTCACGTTATCGCTGTGATAATTGTTAAGTATTCGGGGGAAGTGATTTTAACAAAAAAAAAAATGGTAAGATTTGTTTATTACTGAACCACTGGAAATGTGCCTTTTACCAAAGAGTAAATACCTCTTTCATTAGGTTATCGTGCCTTGATGTTGAAATTAATCCAGGCGAATTATATGAGAGAACGTTTAGAGTAATTAGGGCTCAATAAATCGAGTTGCCAAAAATTGGCAGTAGCCGCTGTAATGATTAATGAGTTAACTATGATGTGATAATTTTAGTGCAATCATATGAAAAAGTAAAAAAAAAAAGCAAATCGGTGTACAACGTATTCAATAACTCAATGTTGATGATATTCAATGTAAATTTATCGTGAACGTAACGTATCGGTCGTTATCAATTTTTCTCTTGCTCATTGAATAATTGACGAAGCTCAATAAAGTAAAATAAAGTTGGCATTTTCTTTTATTCATTTCTTCAGGCTCATTGTTTTTTTTATTCCAGTCAAGGTGACGTACTGCTGGCCAAGGTAAGAGGGTAAAATCTCAAGGGTCTCTACGATATTCTACTCGTCAAATGTTGGAAGACAATTATCATTTCAACTTGTGATTTTTAATTTCATTTTGGGGGAATAAATTCTTTTTTTTTCAATCGAGAACGAACAAGAACAATTACTTCTTCTGTTTGAACTTAATTTCAGGGCAATCGAGGGGAAGCCGAATGCAGGACAGATATAATTGTTAAATTGCCCCCTTATCGATTATAATTCGCGTCACAGGACAGATGTTATCGTTTCCCAAGCATTTTTATTCATTTTTTTTTTCCTTTTCTCTTTTCTTTTCACTTTAACCTGAGAGCGTGCGCCTGCGTGTATTGCGTTTTGCAACTCTCCTTGTGGAATCGATTTCCTGTGGCTTTACGTAGTCACAACTGTACGAAACTAGACGAACTTGGATGACACGAGAAAACGGTCAATGACTTCAGCCAACTTTACCCCGCATAATGCCCCATTGTCATTATTTCAGAGTACTCATTTATTTATTTATTCTCTCAATAATTCATTGAAGTCCTCAGGTCAGTCGATCCAATGAGAGCAACCATTGAGATTAAAGTGGAGTTAGTGTAAAATAAATAAATAAATAAATAAAACCACTGGGAAATAATTCCTACAGGTTGTATTGATCCCCCTGTTGTCTCTTATTTACAGATACTATGTATCAAAACTTGCGATGCTGTCGCAGGATGACTGCAACGTCGAAATGAAGGTGTTAGTCGATGGAGATACTGAACTTGTACTAACTGAATCACTTCAATCTAAAAACGACGAATGCCTAGACGAGATTGTACAGAGTCAAATAGTCCAATGTGCCCTGTGTGGAGATGGTTTCATGAGTGAGGATGAATTAGCGTTGCATATTAAGACACACGAGTCACTTCAAACACAAATCGATGATAATCAAGAGCTAGATCAAGAATTGGAGGATGAAAAAATAGTGTACGTATGTGAACACTGCGGCAGAAGTTTCACAACAACGGCAATACTGCGTAAACATCAACAGCAGATGCACACACCGAGTACTGAAAAAATTCACACGTGCGAAATATGCGGATACAGCTCTGTCCACAAGCAGAATGTGATAAATCACATGAGACGTCACAATCAGGAGTACAAGTACTGCTGTGAAATATGCGGGGCTGGATTTTACGCGAGAAATATATACTTGGAGCACCAGTTGATTCACTCCAAGGAGAAGCCATTTCAGTGCGAGATATGCAATGCAACATTCAGATATCGCCAGGGACTCAGGCTTCATGCTAAACTACATCAACCCGATTACGTACCACCCCAGAAAAAGCATCTGTGCGAATTGTGCAACAAGAGATTTTCGAGAAAGCAAGTGTTACTTGTTCATATGAGAACTCACGGTGGTGGTGGACCCCAGAACGAGTATATCTGTCACATATGTGGAAAGGCAGTCTCCAGCAAGACTTATTTAACGGTTCACGTGAGAAAGCACACGGGTGAGAAGCCACACGTGTGTGATCTCTGTGGAAAGGGATTTATATCACAGAATTATCTGAGTGTTCACAGGCGAACGCACACTGGTGAAAGACCACATCAGTGCACTCATTGTGAAAAAAGATTCACCCAGAGGACAACACTTGTCGTTCATCTCAGGGGACACACTGGAGATCGACCCTATCCCTGCACATTTTGCCAGAAATCATTTGCCTCGAAAACAATGCTCAATAGTCATCTCAAAACTCATGCCAAGCAGAATGCCAGGGCACAGCAAGAGCAGATGATGAAGGACGAGCAGCTTCAGGATGGATTTCAACATCTCCATGATCAGCAGAGTGAGCATCTCACTCTTGAGGAATTGCAGACTGAGGAAATTGATGATGATATTCAGGAACAGCCACACACGACTGTTCTCGAAAGTGTAGCTGTTCTCTTGCCTGGTTAGGTTTTATTTTTCAGGGGTTCATTATTCCAGGGTTTCGGGGGATTTTTCTTTTTTAATTTATTTTACAACGAATTGTGTCGCACAAGTGATTGCTCGGAGACGCCGTCCGACTAATTAATTATATTTTTCAGCTCGAGGGGAATTAATTTGTTGATTGATTTATTGTGGATGGCACTTTGGGGAAATTTCGGCGAGAATCAGGGGCTGGAGGTTCGATCTTGATTTTTTCTACGTGAATAATCTGTGATAATTTGATTCAGTAAAGAAGAGGTAAAAGTCGATTGAGCCAGATCGGAGTTTTCGGAGAATATTTCGGAATTGGAGACGTATAGCGATATTTTTGTGAGAACCTTTTTTAAACCTCGGAATTTATTCTACAGAAAAGGTTCAGAGGAGCATTTCGGTATTTCTATTGGATTCGGAGATATTTCCGGAAAACTTGACTGGGGCATAAGTCGACTTACTTTTTAACTATTCAATACTGAATTATCGATATCGATTGATTAATTCCTCTTAATTCAGGATATTTCCTTCGAGATTTAGTGGTTTGTTTAATGTAGTGCAGCTTCAGTATTTTTTTTTTGTCTCGAATTTATAATATTCTGTTGAACTTAGAAAATCGTCTCGTGCACAAGGAAAATGTTCGAATCTACTAGGATAATTGAATTGAGTTTGTTAGGGTAATTGAACTGAATGTGTGTTTGTGTGTAAATAGAGAGGATCAATGTGAATTGGAGAACACTGTGCCTTAGTTGAACGTGATTACGATGTGCGTTAGAATGAGCAGAACTTTAATGAGATCAAACGTGCAAGTGCATTTAATCACGATGCATTTTATCTCGGATTTATCTTTTTTATCTAGTGATAACTCATTTACTCGATGAGAGAACATTCCGAAGAAGAGATTAATTCAATAATTCTGGGTCAAATACATTGTTTTTTTTTTTCGTACTGTCAGAGGCAACTCTAATCATAAGTGCAATTGTTTAGGGTAGTTGTCAGATTAATAATAAGGGACGATGCACCAATTACTTTTATATTTTATTATCAACGAGTAAATGATGAAGAACCATAAATACTGAACGATATTGAGGGAACGAATTATATGAATTTATCCGGATAAATCTCGTTGAGGGAAAAAAATAAATGATCAACTGTGGAGTTGATTTTTGAAATTTCACCAGAATTCTATGTAAAATAAATCTGAATAAAGTACATTATATACTTTTCAATAAATCTTTCTTCATTCTCAATATCTCCCTGAAGTCCTGAACGAAAAGAAAACCCCATCCAATTGTCGAGGCAAAACGAAAAGAATAAAAACCAACAAAACCAAAGAAATTCATCAATGAAAACCGAGAAAATTTTTTACATTTCAGATCCCGATTAAAAGACGTGAAAACACAGTCAGATGACGATAATCTCAAGTTAAAATTAATGAGAGTAGCTGACAAGGTGGATAAATCCCAGGCTAAAATTGAAAAAGCCGAGAATGAGGTAGAAAAAATTGAGGCACCAGTTCCAACTCCTCAGTCACACATTAAACAATTCCAGCTACTGATTCTAAATCCTCAGCTGATTCTTCAGCATGCCCAACAACTCCAGAGAACCCAACCACCACCACCACCAAATCCCCAGCTACCCTTACCAAAACTCGTGAGAATAAAGAAAAAACGAAGACGTAGAACCCCATCCCCTGAGAATCGCGAGGACAACAGATGCGAAATATGCAGCAAAACTTTCAAAAGAAAAGTTTATCTGAACTACCACATGCTGAGACACAGTTCAACCCTGACGTGTGACATATGCGACGAAAAAATGCCCTCAAAGTACTACCTGCAGCTCCACGTACGCAGACACAACAAAGATTACACATATTTCTGTCCAGATTGCAAAAAAGGTTTCTATTTAAAAGCCTCACTGGACTATCACATGTCAAAGCACACAAGCGAGAAGCCCTTTCAATGTGAAATATGCAAAAAGGCATTTGGCAATAAAGTTTATCTCGGTAAACACATGGCCATTCACAAACCACCACCAGATACCGAGAAAATCAACTGCAATTTTTGTGATTATTCCACGACAAGGAGTGATTACTACAAAAGACACCTGAGAAAGCACACAGGTGCGAGTAAAATATCATGTCAATTCTGCCAGAAAATGATAACAAGAAGCTACATGCCTACACACGTAAGAACACACACCGGTGAAAAAAATGAAATGTGTGAATTTTGTGGAAAGACATTCAGCTCGAAGGCATATCTGATCACTCATAGACGAACCCACACCGGAGAACGTCCCTTCGAGTGCAAAATATGCCAGAAGAGATTTTCCCAGAGGGAATCAGTGACAGTCCACATGAAGATTCATCAACGAAAGAATAAATAAACCAAACCATCCAATTAAATTTTTAATCACAAATTACGTGTTCCAATGAGATAATAAATACGTTACGTTTTCAAATCGAATTCAATTTCATTAAATCCTCGATCCAGTGATAGAGTTTATCTAGGGAAGCACATGGCCAGAAAATTTTAAAAAATCACCTGAATTCATCGACGATAAACGATAAATAAAAAAATCAATTACGTTATATGACGTTTTGCAAATCGAATTAACTTCAATTCAATGCCTGACCACTGGTTCCAGAGGTAAACGAAGAGAAATCCCATAAATCCCTAAAAAACGAGTAGGTAATAACAGAGAATTGATATTCCACGGACCGGAGACATCCCCAGAATTTACGAGATTTATAATTTCCAGATGCTTACGAGAGGAGGACCTGATATATCCACAACCCGAGTCATTGAACGCTGTAGAATACCAGTTATATACAATCGAAACAGACACCGACGATCCCCATCTGTACGAAATAATAGACAACGACGACATCACGATGACCGAGTCCCTGATGGATCCCCCAGAAGATGCCCCACCCGCAGAGCCCTCAAAACCAAAAACAACGTACGAGTGCCTCCACTGTTCAAA